TTTCTATTTCTAGTTTTAAGGCTAACCTATGTCATACTTTCATTCATTAAATCTTGTAAAAGGACACAAATTGCCTTTTTAAAAACCTCTTTCCGGCAGCTAGTTCCGTAATTCGCATATAAACAGAGGAACAATAATAATAAAAAAAAGAAATTAAAACAATTGACATCATTATGCAGTGCCTAATTGATTATGCGTGTCGCGTCTGGTGCAATCGGGGCTTGCTCAACTTTAGCCACAAATGGTTTTTTTTAATCGTTTCGTGGCGCAGACTTTCAGCAAGCCCGTATCGAGTGAGTCACTATTATTATTAAGGTGGCTTCATTCAGAGCCTATGCATCCCCTCATCACTGCGACCATTGACTGATATATTGTGATCATCACTAATTACAGTGCAGATCCAAGGCCGACAGCATTGAAAAACTGAAGGACTTTCCTGGCTCCGACAGATTTAATGTCATCTGGTTTTGGCATGTGCCTTCTCAGTACGGAACTTCGTACGCCCATCAGGGGGTAGCATTGGGTCAGTAGATGAACAGGAGTTTCATCCTCCATGTGGCAGAATCTACATTCTCTATTTTCTCTCTGCCCAATATTTGACATGTGCTTGTTTAAGCCACAATACCCTGTCAAGGCTCCAGTGAGCATTCTTATGCCATTCTTGTCCAATGACAGAGCTTCTCTACAGTGTTTGGCATTGTAGGTAGATATCAGGGCTTTTGAATGCTCAAGACCCTTGTTCTGTAGCCACACTTCTCGGGAGAGGTGTGTGCTCTCATTTAACAGAGTGAGCTTTGCCAGGCTGTATGCTATCCCTATAAAGGGTTCGGGTTCAATAAAGGTTTCCCTAGCACCAGCCTTTGCCAGTTCATCCGCTGACTCATTACCCTCGACATCAGAGTGGCCTGGAACCCAGCGCAGTATTACTTTACCCACTGTATTACTTTCCCCGAGAGTGTTCAGTATATTTACACAGTTCTCTACAATCCTCGATGTCTGGGTGACTGAGGCTAGTGCATGTAGAGCCGCTTGACTATCTGAGTTTATGTAAATATGCTTGTCAGCGTAGCCTCTCTTCAGGTTCAAATCCGCACAAGTAATTATGGCGTACACTTCGGCCTGAAAAATAGAGGAGTGTCGTCCCATGTTCAGCCTGTAGCTGAGCCTGGGTGTCACACCATGTATACCACAGCCTACGTTGGGTCCCATCTTAGACCCATCGGTATACCATAGAAGGCTACCGTCCTTCCAGGTGACACTGTTAGTTTCCTAATCCTCCCTAGTTGGAAATTCTACCTGGTAGAGTTTTTTAAAATATTGTTTGGGAAGTATGACATCAGAAGTCATTCCCAGAACAGAGTGTTCCAGAATTGAGTCTTGGGCTGATCTCAATGTCTGGGAGAGCCATCTAGTCCTTAACCTAGTGGTAAGCCTGTACATGCTGGTACTGGCCTCCCTCTGTATGAATAAATGCAGAGGAGTCAGGTTCAGCAATGCATTTAGGGCTGCCACAGGTGTGATGGACATGGCTCCCGTTGCTAGCAGGCATGCAATGCGCTGTAGACTGCCCAATATGACAATTGTGGTTGTTTGGCTGACTTTAGCACTCCAAGCAACAGAGGCGTAAGTCACTATGGGCCTCACTATTGCCTTATATAACCAGAGAGTCATCTTTGGTTTTAGACCCCAACGCTGTCCCGCCATACGGCTACAGATACCTAAGCCCATCTTCATCAGCCTTGTTGATCGTGTTAGCTATATGGTATTCCGCTTTAGGGTTTGATCTAGAGTTATCCCTAGATATTTGACTTCTGCGGAAAAGCCCACAGCCCTGCTACCAAGAATTGGTTCCACCAGTTTGTCTAGTTCCGTCTCCTGGTGAAGGGGACAATGGTTGTCTTTTCCGCATTAATTGATAATTCGTTATCTTGACACCACGCGGAAATGGTATCAAGTGCTCCTTGCATAA